AAGCAGATCTCTGAACTGGAGTGTTGGTCTTGTTTGCCAATTATGTCACATTTTAACTGATATGTGCATCAACATTCTATAGGAGAAGGTTTTTATTTTTGCCTGTATATTAATATAATTTGGTTGGTAGAAAATTGTAATGCACCATTGGTAATCATACTTGCTTCTGCATAACATGTCAAAGCTGTACTTTTGTGACTGAATAGAGAAGAAAAGCCCTTCAGATTATTCACATTCAGTTGTAAAGAATACACATCTGCCATTATTTACAAGTGGTTTATTTCTTTCTTTTTTGAATAGGTGTAAAGACATTTGTTAATTATACGCTGTGTGAGTTTTTTAAAAAGTCCAGCATCTCTGTACATATTTTGAATGCCCCTGTTTCTATATAATTACAACAAAGGTAGGATGAACAGACCTGTACCTTTATAATAGTAACAAATATGTATGTATCTTAGGCTGATCTTGAAGTGGGCTATAAATGGATTTTTCCACCTTGTTAATCTGAAACTCACTTTTCTTGTCGAAAGAGTTTCAATATTTCAGAGGTCTTTTTCATTTGATTAGATATGCAAATCACTAGAGACGCCTGAAACACTGATCATGAAATTATTCATTCCTGCAGTAGAGACTTAACAACCATATCTACACAGTGAACAAGGCTTTTAAAATAATTCCCGGTTCCCCTTGGAGTATTGGTAATAGCTGTTAGAAACACAAGGTTCAATCCAACAGGGCCTTATAGACTGAAGTACATAGTAAAGAGAGAACAAGTGAGGGGGAAAAGCAGATGCAAATACTAGAGCTTGAGAAGTTTACTTTTCTGGGTTTCAGGTCCAAGAATCCTCAATCCAGCATGGCCACTGGGGTGTCCTGGGAGTTATAGCCCAAAAGAGTACCTTTTCTGAGTTCTGGCAAATACATAGGAGTGGCTCTTACTTATAGTTCACTTTTTCTGAGCATCTTAGGAAGAAGCAGAATATGGTTCATTAGTTCCAGACTGTGTTGTCAAGTCAATATTTCTGCATACAAATGAGTGAGTTCGTGAAACGTTAATAGCACAATAAAGACTTGCTGCCATTGTAAGAAGTAAAACTCATCCATGATGTCATACTGACATGAGCAAACTTCTAGTACATGGGCACTGCCATTCAGGGCATCACGTTCTCCCCCTAGTCCTGCCCATCCCTTATCAGCACCCATTCCCAATCAGAAATTGGTGAGCAAAGATAAATGGGTTTCAACAAGAAAAATATTTTATGTCTGAGATGTTGTTCTGATGAGAGAAGGGAAGAATCTCATGACAGGCAGTAGGTCCAATGGAATAAGCTGCTATGGTCTCTTCTGAGCATGCTCAGTGTCAGGAGTAGAAACCTTTTTTAGTCTGAGAACCATATTATCTCTGGGCAAAAATGTGGAGGACTGTGTGCCAACAGTGGGAGGAGGCATATCTCAAAGTGGATGAGGCAATCTTCTTGTGGGCAGGTGACACCCAACATGATTGCCATCTACTGTACATCAAGGCAATAAAGTAGTTTAGGGGAGAATATAGTCATGAAGAACATACAGTTCTGTCTTCTAGTGAAAGGGAATGAATAAAGGACTCTGGAGAAATGGCCAGTGGTCTGTTGCTGACTCCAGACATTGCCACCTGAGGTATCTGCCTGTCTTTGCTTTTTGGGAGAGTAACAACAACAACAATGTGTAATCTAGATCTTAGGGAGCATTTGAGAACTGACTTTGGAATGATTATCCACATACCCCCACCCCAAGGACTAACTTTATGTGTAAAACCTTTTTTACATGAGAAGTTCTGGATACCAACAAATATTTTCAGTTTCCTTCAAATGGATGGAGGCAGATCTGCTGTAAAAAAAACAAACAGAGTATATTTGGAGAATATTCTGTAAAGGGTCTTCATTTTGATGGAGGATAGGAGAGGAATTTTTCACTTGCACATGTGTAATTGATATCATCTTTGGAAAACTGAGACTTTTTGTATGTGCATAAATCTTACTCAGAAACTTACAGTTGGTTAGACAGAACCTGCAGGTGCCTGAATTCCATTCATTGCTGCTATTCTTACCACTTCAGGTGAAGATATTATTACCCTGATGTCTGCCCTCCCTCTACCCCATATACTGTCTATATCAGGGGTAGGCAACCTTTTTCAGCTGGGGGCTGGGTTGTTGTCCCTCGGACAATTGGGGGGCCGAAGCACCAAAAATAAATAAATAAATAAATTATTTTTAAAAAAAAAATAAAAAATAAAAAAAATGCATGGACACTCTCTCAGCCCCAGAAAAGCCATGGCAAAACCCCTGTGGAGATTTTGCCAAGAAAACCCCAAGAACAAGTAATAACAACAATAATCAATATCATCATGGCGGGGGGAGACGGCGAAGCCAGGACAGGCCTGGGGCCGGTCCAAAGGCCTTGGGGGGCTGCATTCGGCCCCCGGGCCTTAGGTTGCCTACTCCTGGTCTATATACTCTGTAAATTGGTAGTGACAGTGAAAATTGTATACTGCTGTTTGTTTAAATTGATTTCTTTCTTTCCTAGTTCTTAAAAACATTATACAATCAGAGAGACAGAAGGGTTGGCTATTGAGTCCAACCCCGACTCAATGCAAGAGGTCCATTTAGAGTACCCCCAGTAAGTAGCCATGTTACTCTAAAAGGTGGAGGAATGTGGGAGTCCCTGCCAGCAGTGTACTATGGTCTGGATCCTGACACCACCACCCTCAGAGATTTGAATTTTCAAAACTTTATACTACTTATCGGTTTTACCATCATATAAAACCTTACATCTTTTTAGAATTTTGGGGAAATTGTAGCTCAAAAAAGAGGCCTGCGAGTGGAGAGTAACTTTTGGGATCTTTTCACCAGGGTAGATCAGCACTAACTATAGAGAGACTCTGGTTTCAGTAAATAGAAGGGTTTTATTTACAAATATGGAAAGTTGCACACAAACACAAAAAGCCAATGCAATTTTAGAAACCATACAAGGCTAACAGAAAGAAAGGTGTGGCATGTTGGATAGTGAGCAATCAGGATTTAAAGAGGGTGATAGTTACTACTCCTGAAGATAGGTCCAGAGAAAACAGTGCCTGAGGGCAACATGGATATAGTACAAGAGACCCTCTGACTTGCATGTTATAAATCTTTGGAAAAGGAATAAAAAAATAAATCAACTGCCAATGCTGTAATGCTTTTATACAGCTTTTGGTGTATGTACATTTCTATATGCAATTCTGGCCACTTCATCACAAAATAAGATATTACAAAGCTGGAATGCACAAAAGTGCACAAAACTGTGACCAAAATTATCAATGATCTCCTGAAAAGCAGCAGTTACAGTGAATGAAGCTTTTTAGCCTAGAGAAAAGTCAAGTAAAAGGAGACATGACAGAAGCGTATAAAAGTATGTGTGTTGTGGGCAAAGCAGTACTTCTTCATATCCTTCATGGTGAAATTATGGAACTCACTTCCAGAAGATGTGGTAACAGCTTCCAACAGGGTTGACTATAAAAGGAACTCTGCTATCAGTGTTACAGTGTCCTTGTATTATGACCAATATTATAGGCTTCTTGGTACTATTTGTTAGGGAACAAAAGTTTGAGGGTGCAGTTGGCCTCAGGTCCTTTTTCTGAGTTTCCCATCTGGTTAGCCATTGTAAGAACATTGTAAGAAAGCTAAACTAGGTACACATTTGAACTATTCCAGAAGTGTTCTTCATACATTCTTTATACCATTCCCTTTTCAAATTAAATGTTAGCATTCATTTATAATAACATAGAGTCCAGTGGTAGGAAATGTACATTAGAAATTTTTGTATTTGAAAATTGTATCTTTATTCATAGGTATTGTCTCATTCCACTAATATATTTTAATCCAAATCACTTGAAAAATCCATCTACGCTACAGTTAATGGATTTAATTACAACAAATACAGTTCTGACCTTTCACCAATCTAGATTTAGGCATTGTGCACCATAGTAAATGCCTTTTTAAAACTCACTAATGATATGTCATTATTAATAGACAAAAGAACATTGATGATATCCAAAGACCTATCTAAAGCTTTTGATTTAATCATCATGTTCCTTGATTAAAGAAATTACTATTCTTTGGACAATTTATTCCAGTTATTATTTGAGCCCTTTTTTTTTCTTTTTTTCTTTTTTTGAACAGTCATAAAAATGTTATCAGAGACAAGTTTTAATGAAAATGGCTACAGTTGCAAGTTATTTGAAAATGTTGATTGACCCTTGTTTGTGATGGAGAAACAAATCTTCTCATATAAATAATCAAGCTTGGTTTAGAACCAATCTGAATCCCAGGGTTTCCCCCCCACCCCTAATCTTGTATTCCATACACACTTCAAGATTCAAATGAATGCCCAGAGGCTACAGATAAGGGGGAAAACATGGAGAAATCTATAAACTATGCTATTTCTTAAAACTGATAAAGAACTACTATAGTACTTATATCCCACATCCCATCCTGACTCCTTCTGATGGAATCCTAGCATCTGTAGTTTAGTGAAGTGCTTAGAATTCTCTGCTAGAAATGTTTGATTCTTCACCACCACCCTTTGCCTCTCCTCCCCTGAACTCCATAGATTGGAACCATGATTACTAAAGTGGTGTCAAGCTGCTATGACTGTGTCATGTGGATATAGTCTGCAAATACTTACAAACCAAAGATCAGTACTAAATTACTTGTTATTGTGTGCCTTCAAGTCATTTTCAACATATGGCAAACCTATCACAGGATTTTCTTGGCAAGATTTGCCTTTGCTTTCCTTTGAAGCTGAGAGAGTGTAACTTGGCCAAGGTCACCCAGTAGGTTTCCATGGCCAAGCAGGGATTTAAACCCTGGTCTTCAGAGCCACATTAAAACACTCAGACCATTACATCATGCTGGTTCAGGGCTGACCTAATCTTAGGGAAACAAACACCTCAAGCAGAAGATTTGGGGAACATGAAAAGGTAATACCATGGTGTAGTGTAGTGGTTTCAGTGTTGGACTGTAACTCTGGAGACCACAGTTCGATTCCTTGCTCAGTGATGAAATCCACTGGGTGACCTTGGGCAAGTCACATTCTCTCAGCCTCAGGGGAAAGCAATGGCAAACCTCCCCTGAACAAATCTTTCCAAGAAAACCCCATGATAGGTTTGCCTTAGTGTCACCATAAGCTGGAAATGACTTGAAGGCACACAACAACAACAACAACAACAACAACAACAACAACAACAACAACAACAAGAAGTTAAAAATGTTACTTTGGCTGGCATCCTATTCCTGATGCTGCATGTTGGACTTATACCATTTTAGTTATTGGAATTCACATTTATAGTTGTTGCACCATTAAAATAACTGAAATTGCCCCCCAAGTCTTTTTTGAAGTCTGCAGCCCATTCCAAGGTGCTGGAGAGCTGGGTGCTGAACAATGATGCATCTAGCCCTCTCCTAACAGCAAGGTGTGAAGTGACAAGCAGCTGAGACAGGATTCTGATTCAAAAGCAGATTCAAAAGACAGGATTCTGATTCAAAAGCGGGCATCAGAAGATGGAACTATGATGACAGATCTCCATCATCATAGCTGTATCTCCCAAAACAGAACGTTGACCTTCATTGTTATTGTATTTTTATTGGCACTAGAGTGGGATTGTACATCTCACGTGCCAAATTAACTTGGCTGGTTATACACCTTGACTTGAGGACAGACATTTGCTGCTTGACTTCAGACTGAAAAATGCCTTGGTTTAGTCTGTCATTGTATGCCTTCCAGGCATAAATCCTACAAATAAATAGCTTTACATGCAAAACAGGTCTGAGTATTCCATCCTCCCTTACACATGTTAGAGAGTACAATTCACATAATCTCTAACCAACTGTCATTCAAGTTTAGGTTTATTGAAGTTGTAGTCCAGAAATATCAGAATGGTACAATGTTGGGAAAGGTCACATGGACCAATTTTTGAAAAGTCCCAGTATAGAGCTTCACAGTTAAGAATTTATTTAGGTCTCTGAATCTTCCATTGTGTACTGTAGGATATAATAAGCAAGCTATGATCTGAGACAAAATTTGCTTCTTATTTCATATGAAAATATTACCAAGAATAGTAAATTATCACTATCCAAGTAGTAATGAGGCCCAAAATGTTGTTGTTGTTGTTGTTGTTGTTGTTGTTATGCCAAACTTATTGTGGAGTGATCTTGACAATTTTTTCCAGAGGACTTGTCTTTGCCTCCCTCTGAGGCTGAGAGAGTATGACTTGTCTATGGACATCCAGGCTGAGCAGGGATTTGAACCCTCATCTCCACAGTCCTATTCCAACACTCAGACTGCTACACCATACTTGCTCTCCCAGAATTTTACTCTTTAATCCTTCATGGGTAAAAGGTTGTCATTCATTCCTGCAGAAGATAAAATGAGGTGTGGTAACTGAACTGTGCTTAGAAAGGTATTTTAAAGAAGAATGAATATAATGACAATACATACAATAGGGCTACTTTGTTGATCAGAGATTGAGAGGATGGCTTTTTTATATATATGTTCAGGTTCACAGCTTGCACATGGCTTCAGCATTGATCCTGCATGGCCAGGTGACTGCTTTACCTGGGAATGTCTTTGCCCACCCTTAACTTGGGCTCCTGCTTCATTCCCTTCCTGGTGCTTCCCAGAGCTTGAAAGTAACTAGTAATGTATACTGAATTCCTTTCAATTAATTCCTTCCTTCCAGAAATGAAAGAATAACTACATTAATCACAACTGTAACTTCTCCAGGAATAACATCATTATTTTTTGTTGTTGTTTTGCAGTATAGCTGCATTTTTTATTTACTTTCATAGTTACACGGTGTTTTCACTAAATGACAGAAAAGGAACATGACATGGTTCAAGTGCTTGGTGATGTTGGAGCCAGTAGCTTGTAGCATTCAGGTGTTTTGTAAACAATTTTCAATTACTTTTGAGAAATGGGAACAATACAAGGAAAAAGAAGTTACCTTTAAAAAAAAAAAAAGATCATTTATGTTTGATCCAGCATGGTGTAGAGGTTTAAGTGTTCAACTCCAACTCTGAAGACCAGGGTTCAATTCCCAGCTTGCCCATGAAATCCACTGGGTGACCTTGGGCAAGTCACGCTCTCTCAACCTCAGGGGAAGGCAACGGAAAACCTCCTCTGAATTAATCTTGCCAGGAAACCCACATGACAGCTTTGTCTTAGGGTTGCCATAAGTCAGAAATAACTTGAAAGCACACAACAACAACAACAACAACAACAACAAATCATATAAAGAAGAAGTCCAATAACATCTGGGGAAACAGATGTGGGAACTTTTGTTCTCCTTCGTTGTAGGTTAGGGATCCTTCCTAAACTACAGACCCCAAGATTCCCTAAGATGTATTAATGGCAATTAAAGTGGACTCATAATGCTATGAATGTGCCATATGAAAGAGCTGTAAATTTACCTTCACTGGTCCCTGGGATGTGAGCTTAACAGAGAAGGACTGCAGGTACAAGCAAATTCTCATTTAGGGTTCAAATCTGTGAACATCTTTCAGGAGATAAATCAGGTGATGATGGATGATTTCTTAAAATTATGGACCTTGTCACTAAAGGGAGGTGTAATCTGCACTACAGAAATAATGTAGTCTGACACCTGCTTTAACTGCCATGGCTCCATGCTATGGAATTATGGGATTTCTAGTTTTGTGAGATGTTTATCTTTCTCTGTCATAGGTGGCACAACAAACTACTCATCAGAGAATCTCATAGTATGGAGCCATGGCAGGTGACAAACTGCATTATTTCTATGGGGCAGTTTACGCTTCCATATTTTGGACATTTCATGAGACCAGGTGAAGCTTCCATACTTTGCATACTTCATGAGACCAGATGACTCACTGATAAAGACAATGACCCTGGAAAAATGGAAGCCAGTAGGAAAAAAGGAAGGCCCCACTATAGGTGGATGGGTTCCAACAAGGAAGGCAGGGCCCTAAATTTGCAAGACCTAGCAGAGAGGTGAGGGCCACAGAGTCACTATACCTGGATGTCACTTGAGGGCAAATAACAACAGCAACATAGACTTTCTTGGGGTGTAGCCTGAGATGATCTGCTGGACCAAGATGAGAAAAAGGACAGAGTAAGCCAAGTTCACATGGTGAAGACTTCAGACAAACCTAGATCCACTGAAACAGGACGAAGCCTTGTGGATCTTAATGGAGCTCACTGCCCAATCCTATATTTTTCTCCTTAGCAATAAGTCCTATTTAGTTCAATGGGACTGTTGTTACTGTTATGTGCCTTCAAGTTGTTTCTCACTTATGGGGGGGTGGCAAGTTTCTTCAGCAGGGGGTTCGCCATTGCCATCCTCTGAGGCTGAGAGTCCAACACTCAGGTCACTACATCACACTGGTCTTACTCCTGGATCAAGCCTTTATAGGATGGCAGCCCCAGATAATTCAGTGGGACTTACTCCTGAAGGATTCCGCTGGCACCTGCGAGACAGAGAGAAAGAAGCTGGTAGCAGAAGTTTTCCTAGACTTATGTCTACTTCATTAAATGCATCCCGAAGGTGCTACAAGAGCCTTCTCTGTCAGAGAGCTCTGGTGCCACAACAAGCACCACTTGCATGCTGATCCAGAAGACAGCAATATCTTTGAACTCGACCTTCCCTGGCACCGTTACTGCTTCCTCAGCTGGCTAACTGGACAAAGACCAGATGGGTCTTTCCTCTTGTTTCCCCGGACCCCAAAAGAGCTTGATCCCAAATGGCCCACAACTCTTAGTAGCTCAAGCGTCTGCATCATGTTCAAAGGAGATTCAGCCCAGTTCCACCAGAGCCTGCCTGGTCTGAGCGTTGGACTAGGACTCTGGTAACCCGGGTTCGAATTCCGCCTTGGCCATGTAAACCTACTGGGTGAGCTTGGGTAAGTCACACTCTCTCAGCCCCAGATGATGGCCATGGCAAACCTCCTCTGAACCAATCTTGCTAAGAAAACCCCATGATAGGGTCACCTTAGGGTCACCATAAGTCGAAAACTACACTTGAAGGCACGCAACAACAAAGGCGACTTAGACGGCTTATAGAAATCCTCTTACTCAAGGGTAGGCAACCTTTCCCCTTTAAGGGCTGAGGGACTTCAGCTCCCAGAAGCCTCAGGCATGTTGGCCAAGTCCCATGTTGGCCAATAGCTCCTGGGATTCTGGGAGCTGAAGTCCCTTGGCCCTTAAAGGGGAAAGGTTGCCTACCCCTGCTCTTACTCCTCTGGGCTGCTAGTCGGCCCTAACGGTGGGAAGCAACTGGCTGCTCCAGAACATTAAAGAGTGTTATGTGTGTACACACACGCACTCTCTCTTGCTGTCGCTCTCTTATGCCTGTATATTGTTGCGTATATATTGTTGTTGCTGTGTGCCTTCACGTTGTTACCTATCATGGGGATTTCTTGGCAGGTTTCTTCAGACTTGGTTTGCCATGGCCTTCCTCTGAGGATGAGAGAGTGATCACCCAGTGGCTTCCCATGGCAGGACCAGGATTTGAACCCTGGTCTCCAGAGTCACAGTCCAACGCTCAAACCAATAGACCACACTGGCTCTCATGTCCATATATACATGGGATGAATCACATCCACTCTTTCCTTGCAGATGTGTCAGCTAAAGAACAGACACTCACAATGTGTGTGTATGTCTATGTGCCTTCAAGTCTTCTGTCGATTTATGGAGACCTGATGAATTTCATAGGATTTTCTTAGGCAAGGAATAGTCTGAAGAGGCTAGCCATTGACTTCTTCTCAGATTTATCGAATAGCACTGAATATTCCTTGGTGGTCTCCCTTCCAAGTACTAATGCCCATTAAACTTTCTCAGCTTCCAGGATCAGACGGGATCAGGTGCCTTCAGATATATATATATATATAGAGAGAGAGAGAGAGAGAAATATCATTTGAATGATTCAATGACCTTTGGTTTTGTCACAATGCAGGGCTACTCAGAAGTTAGTGCTCTTGCCCTTGGATTCACTCATTGCTAGGTATGTGTGTATAGATAACTTGCAGTT